TGAGAAAAAATTATCGATTTTTGTGGTTGAATTTTTGCAGGAAGGGTACAGAGGGAAGCAGTTACATCATCTTATATACAAGAGGAAGGTTAAAGAAGTTGAAGAATTTAGCAATTGTGAGCAATCTTTTGTATCATTTCTAGGTTTTGTCGAAAAACTTATGCTCAACGATTTAACCAATGTTCGATTTCATGAAAGTGCCACAAACGTTTCGAAAAGAACTCGTGGAAGGTGGATTTAAGGTGGGAAGATCACCAATTTACCAAACTGTTACTGCAACTGATGGTACCATTAAGGTAGTAATGTTGAGATCTTTGATTGAAATTTTTTTTGTTTACGGTTTTGACCTTTTGTTGTTTTTATCTTACAGTTGCTGCTAAAGCTTGAAGATAATCGGTTGATCGAAACTGTTGGTATACCGGTACAGGAAGAGGAGAAGGGTATTACACGCCTCACTGCCTGTGTCTCTTCACAGGTGAATCTGACTTGCTTATTGTAGAAATTTGTTTTTGGGTTGGTATATTGAGTTTTTAACTGATGTCTTCAAGTTCTGCTTTTTTTTAGGTTGGATGTCCGCTTCGTTGCTCGTTTTGTGCCACGGGGAAAGGAGGGTTTTCGAGAAATCTTCAGAGACATGAAATTATTGAACAGGTTTAGCTCTATATATCACATCTTGTTTTCTTGCAGCTTATGGATTAGATGAAATAAAATCTACCAAAGGAAGAATAATGAAAAAAAGAGCATGATACAGATTTATGAATTGGTGTTTTGGTTCCAAGATATTATACTTAATCTTAAGTAGAATACCTTATGCTATAATTGATGAAGACTGTTGTTTTACATGATAGAGACGCATAAAGCAGTATTTAGCACTGGGTGTTTGGTTCCATTTAGGACCTGGAAGACGAATTATTAGTAAAATGTAAATGTGGCTTCTGTTCTCAAGTGTAATTTTAAATGTCTAGGTGTTGGCTATCGAGGATGTGTTCAAGCACAGAGTGACCAATGTGGTTTTCATGGGAATGGGTGAGCCGATGTTGAACCTAAAGTCAGTACTTGATGCTCATCGTTGTTTGAACAAGGTAACAAATCGCCATTTGTCCATTGGTTCTGTGTAGAAATGAATGAAGTTCTTGCTAAGTATATACGCACTGTTAACCAATTGGCAAGTCAAGAGAAATACTTGACCATAGAAATTCATGTTTGATGTTTAAATATATGATTTATTTCTCTGTAAAATTTGTGACTTGTAAAATGTTAAAATAAATAAGACTAAGTCACATTTGGTTTGGTATGGCTTTACTTAGGACATTGAAATCGGGCAACGGATGATTACAATATCGACAGTCGGTGTTCCAAACACAATCAAGAAGCTTGCCTCTCATAAGCTTCAGTCGACGTTAGCTGTCAGGTGCTTCCTCACTTTCTGGTTTCATTCATGTGTTGTTCTGTAACTAAAATGATCTTCGATACAAATTTCTTTTGAGTATGTTACTTTACGCAGCTTTCTTGGGTAGGGATAATCCCAAACATAACTCAGCTTTCTTGTCTCTTTGATTGCCATATTATAAAATTGTTTACTCATTCTTGAGCTTTTCTTCTTGTGAATCAGCTTACATGCCCCAAACCAGAGTCTGCGGGAGAAAATTGTACCAAGTGCCAAGGCTTATCCGCTGGAAGCAATTATGAAGGATTGTCATGACTACTTCCAAGAGACAAATAGACGAGTTTCCTTCGAATATGCCCTTCTAGGTGTGTGAGCCTTGAGATTAAACAAAAATCTATGTTTTGTCTCCCTCATTATATCATTTACTTTAACAGACATTCATAAATGATGTTGTAGCCGGAGTCAATGATTCAGTAGAGCATGCGGTGGAACTCGCAGAGCTACTCCATGAATGGGGTAAAACTTATCACGTAAATTTGATACCTTACAACCCGATAGAAGGATCGGAGTACAAGCGACCTTACAGGAAAGCGGTATGTTAATACATTAGTCCCGGATATGTTTTTGGTTTGGTTTTGGATTTAAAAATCAATGAAAATACAAACAAATAACTAATTCTAATGAATTATATAAGCATACTTCAATTGTATGTTTGGCGTAAATTTAATTATAAGTATTACAACGAATTTTGGATTACTCAGTTAGGTTCGGTTGCACTAAGTTCCGTTTCAGTTTGTTCGGTTTTGGTTTAAGTAATATCTGTTCGGTCAAACGTTTTTTCAGATGCTTTGGCAACAGTAAGTAAGTCTGTAAACCGTTCAGTTAATCAATTATGCAGGTCCAAGCGTTTGCGGCTGCATTAGAGTCGCGTAAGATAACAGCAAGCGTGAGGCAAACAAGAGGGCTTGATGCGAGTGCTGCTTGTGGTCAGCTGAGGAATAAGTTCCAGAAAAGTCCTTTACTCGCTGAGACGGATGGTCAAGAGTCTCAACCAGATGCAGAATCTGTTCCATGTTAATGTCCCGGTTTTGAAGAAATCTCCTGTTTTGCCATCAGATGGCTCTGTTCATGTTTGTTTGAAGATGAGACTTGCCTCAGTGACGGAAACTCTGAAAATTGCCTTTGGGTTGGTCAGTGAAGACTGAGGATTAAGAGATCGAAGCTCATTTGACAAGTGACGATTTTGACGATGATTATAACCTATAGGTCTGTGATTTATACTTTGTGGTTTATAACAATGACGAAGAAGCAAGTTTAAGTAGATTTGTTCAATGAATCATACTAACAGATCAAATCCAAAAAAAAATTCAGATAGATTGATTAGACAAGAATTTTAAAATATAATTCAAGACGCATACAAAGTTATCATAATTTTTTTCCTTAGGATGCATATTCAATTTTCATCTCTTGCGTCAAAATTTATTCCATGGTAGATAAAGTTCCAAAACTTTAATATACAAGTAACTTTGTGAATCTAGTTTCGATTCAAGTTATTTTCTATGTATTATAGAGGTGTAGCTGATTATTCAATGCTGTTATTAAGATTGTTTATCGTCTTAATCATGTAAATTAGACACTTTGCTCTACACATATCTTTCAAACTTTGCAAGGAAAACCTGAATAATTGATTGGGAAGTAAACAGTAGTAATGGAGATCATAATAAACATAAAGAAACTTACATATACAACACTCAACCGCATTACAATTATACAAAGAAATTACAAATATACCTCAATCGCATTACAAACTATTCTGTTCTTTTTTTGCATATCCTCGAATACTTCTTTCATATATTTAGCAATATTTCCAACTCTGCTTTGGACATATTTGGTGATATATTTAACCAAACCAAGATTAATATTACCATTTATAGCTATGTTGGATTTAGAAAATTTTCTACCATCCGATCAACCACAACTATTATTGGAACATTGACCAAATTGATTTGTTCCGTCCCAAAACTTGGACAAGTCAACCCAGAACATGGACATATCAAATTGCCAAAACTGGTATGAAGTCCGATACATCATAACATTTGTACACGAACCATTCGCTTGTAGAGAAAAATCACAAAATCGCGATGTTTTTATCTTGAAAACATATCTACATAGCAAAAAAACAGAGAGCATGACCCATGACTGGTAACAAATGGATCGCATCATCGGACATAAGACCATAAACCAAACTTGTCTTGATCCATAGATCTAAACGATTCTCTGCTATACCAATCTCAACCTAGCTCTAGATGATTCTCTGTTCTGCTTGCTACTCAAAAGACCTAAGAGTAAGTACCTTTCTAGACGATGACTCAACTTTTGTGTGAAAGATTCCTACTTTTTTATATTCTTTTTTGAACGTCAAGCTATATAGGTTTAGGTTTTATGTGGACGATAAAGAGAATTTTGATTGATAAGGCCAAAGGCCCATTAGAAGGAAAATCCGAAGCTCATTACATCCCTTAAATTAAGCCCAATCACTATCTCCAACAAGATAACGATTACTACAATACAAAGACACGTGGATTAACATGTCCAGCTAGGGATGAACGGACACGTTCTCCATCGGACCAGAGTGCGTTGGGTTCATATATAGTAAAAAAAGGCTCTCTTTTCCCTA